TAAATTTTATTTCTTTTGATCTCGTTGTAACCGGATCTTATAAAAAAACCGGATCTTTGTAACCGATAAACTGTTGTCAAAGTAATCAATGGAATCATCAATGAAGAAAACAATTTTTCCCGCGAACAATCTGGCGACCACAGTGGGAGCCAACGATCTCGCTGCCGAGATCGTTGCGTCGCAGCCGCGGATCTCGATCCCGGTCGAGGAGGAGGTCGAGTATGAGTTCGACCAACAAAAGTTCGAGGAGTATCTTTCATCCTCGTCCGGATCTACCTCCCCTCGCAAGTCTAAGAAGTCCAAGTTCTCTTCCAGCAGAAAGGTGCGTTGGTACGAAGAAGTTGAAGCTACCAACGACGATCTCACCCCGATTGACGCCAAAGCTGCGTCGGGTGAGGCTCCACCAACCTCCAACCAGATCAAGCTGGTTCCTACCAATTCCTCCGTCACCAAAGGAGCGGTGACTCTCTCAAAGAGAACCCGCCAAAGGCGACGCCAACGCTTGGCCAAAGAATTCGCCAAAGCGATGGAGTCCACCGACGGAATCCACTACAACGCGGATCTGAAGAACAGGAGAGGCAAACAGCCTCAACGACCGATGAATGGCAACTCCTCCAAGCCGTCAACGAACGAATGGGTCTGTGTCAAACGGAACCGTTCAACACTGGAGGAGCGTATTTGCAAGCGCCGCGCAATGTCAGCGCAGGCACGGGCTCAAGTCCAAGAGACCCGTAGAAGGCTACAGAAGGAAGTGGCCAAGAAGCCGCCACCAACCCGTCAAGTTTGGAGGCCGAAGTCTGAAGTGGCAATTTAGACTAAGGCACAATCAGTGCAGCCTTCGAAGCAGGTTCAACCTCCAGCGAGCCGACCAAAGTCGTAGGTAATTCCAATAGCTTCTCCGGGAGATCCCGCGGAATCATCCCGAAGGAGAAAGTCAGTCTTGGAGCGCCTTGGTCCAATTCCCGACGAGAGAGGCAAAGCTCCAGTCCAAGAACGTTTGGGCCCGATGAAGAAGCCCCGAATGACTCAACACGCTGGGGGTCGCCGTCACATCCAACACGATAAGGAGCTCAAGGCAGCTGCGCGCACTAATTTGCGCATCGAAGTCCAAGAGCCCGCTGAGAATTCATGCCCAAAAAGGCATGTCTCGAGGCGCGTGACTCTTGAGAGCCCTAAGAAGGCAGTTCGCCCTCAGAGGGAAACGTTGTCGTTTGATGACGATGATGTTATATCTGAGAAATCGTGCCGACACACGATAGGTTACTCCGACCTTCAAACCGACGAGTTGTACTATCATGATGGGAGCATGAGGAAAATCAGGAAGAGAAGTCCCCGAGGACTGGAAACTCAATGCCCATGTTCCAACTCATTCGGGCAATATTGCCTGAGTGCAACTGCATCAAGGCGGTCCCTAAAAGAGTTTCGGTTTTCGAAAGGCTCAGTGCCGAAACACCAAAACCAAGGCCTAGGCGTTTTCAACGAAGAAGAAGAGTAGTCGAAGATGGAGAATTTCCGAGGGTCACCACAAATATGACCAGCAAAGGGACGTCGACACAGGAGAATCCCGAGTCTATTCTAGAAGTACCCCGGCGTGTAACCCGTCTGCAGTCCGGAGCCATCAGACGAGGAACTTATGGTAGGATTCGGACAAGACTTCCTTCAGAAGATGAAGAATCAGATGCTTGCTCTGCGGTCGCATCGGATAATGCAGTATCCAGCGAGGGACAACCCCGCGAGTCCCTGATGATAAGCGCCGAACAAGTAGCCAAGATGCTCGAAGAAGCCATGGCTAAATAGCAGGAGAGGTTCAAGGATGAAATGCAGATGGCCATGCAAAGTATGAGAGAAATGCATGACCAGCAAATCCAAGCGCTGACAAACCAGCAAGGCGAGCCAAATCGTCGTAACCAGATTGATGAGGAAGCTCACAATGCCAATAATCCTCCCGTCAATGCAGGGGGTGGTAACGAGAATGCTGATGAAGACCCAGGTGAAGACCTGAAGATTAAAAATCTCGAGAGCAAAATTAATACGTTGATTTTCGCTCAAGAGATGAAGAAGACGGGCATTCCTTATCCATACCCACGAGAATGTGAATCAATCCCCTATCCGGCGAAGTTCAGTCTAATTAACTTCACGTCGTTTGATGGGAAGGGTTCACCTACGCAGCATTTGAT